CAATCTGTAAGGCATACTGGCTTACTTTGGAGGGATATATTCTGAAAGCCCTAATTTGTGAAATGAAAATGCAAGAAGAGAATACGACAGATAGGCAGCATGGGTGCAGTGCCCTAGCCTGTGGAAGCCCCCAGAAACCACCCCATATATGCCAAGCAAGCCCTCAGTGGCCACCACACTGATCTGTCCCAAGTCCCCTGACCCCTAGAAATGCACGGTCCCCTCCATACATGTAGTGGCCATGACAGCTGTGTGATGGCCCAGGCTAGTGTGCACCCACAGTTGTATGGTGGGCACTCTGCTTCTCCCCAGAAATTTAAGGAAAAAAATAGCATCTATGCTGGCACGCTGATACAGCCAAAACAGAGTTGCCATTGATGAGGCACAGAATGCCCGCCAGCTGTTGACTGCTTTTCTCCCAGCAGTGTAACACTTGCCTAGGTGCAAGGCAACCTAGGCTGCTGTCAAAACCACAGGTTAAATGGGTATTTATCAAGTGAGCTTTTTCCAAATGAGAGCTCCGACCAAATGATGTTCACCTCAGACAATGCTTTATTTAAAATCAATGATTTATTTATTTATTTTTATTCCACAGTCAGATATACAGAAAGGAGGAGAGACAGAGGAAGATCTTCTGTATAATGATTCACTCTCCAGGTGGATGCAGCAGTCGGAGTTGAGCTGATCCAAAACCAGGAACTTGGAGCCTCTGCTGGGTCTCCCATGCAGGTGCAGGATCCCCAGGCCTTGGCCATCCTCGACTGCTCCCCCAGGCCACAAGCAGGCAGCTGGATGAGAATCAGGACCACTGGGATTAGAACCAGTGCCCATATGGGCTCCTGGCCTGTGCAAGGCGAAGGCTTAGCCGCTAGGCTATCATCCCTGGCCCCACCTTAACAATTCTTTAGATTTAAAATTTAAAGATGAGTATTTTGAGTTTGAGACTTCTGTTTGGAAATTTCAAAGATGTGACTCAACCAGGAACCACCATAACTCACCTTACACTATCTAAAATACATTTATGAATTATAAAACAATGCCATACTTATGTTATGCTGATAAAAGTGTGAAGTTTCCTTGTGTGTTTGATTGTGTACATGGATCAATCACTGCTGGTGGGATGTAATTTCAGAGTAGAACCCTTCCCCTATGGTTGTATACTAAACATGATTGGTCCTTCATGTTAGTTTGCACAATGGTGGAGGATTGTGTGGGTATAATGGTCTCTTCCTGGTCTCTGTGATCTGATATTGCCAGGTTAGCATTGAAAATGTGAAAGCGCCTGCACTACTCTGCAGCACTTCCATCCTTGCTTACCATACCCTGCTCCTTTGAGGTGCTTGGCGTAACCTGACAGTAAGGGCTAAATACTCAATGAGGAACAATGTTGTTTGTTACATAAGAGTTAAATATTGGGACTCCTTTGTCTCAGGAAGAAGACTAATTCTGTGAATGGGGTGTTACTTGGCATCCATACAGATGTGACAAGGCACATACATTTGAATAGTAAAGAGCAGTGATTTTGAACAAGAGTAAATGGATGCTTTTGCTCTACCAAGGATGGTAGACTCAGTAAGTGGGATGGAACGGTTCTTTATAGTTGTACTGACAAAGCTTCAGGCTAGGTAAATATTGAGTGGTCAGGCATTGCCAGATCAAAACAATGATCAAAAGTGGGCAGTCCAGTTCACAAAGAGAGATCATTGAGATGAGGCTATGTCATTAACACTAACACTACATTAGCCCCAAATCCTGAAATTTGGTTTAGGTGGTAAGTGCTACTATAGGTCAGATTTCCTGAGTTACATGGAAAGAACAAATTAAAAAATAAATTCAGGAATCCATCACCCATAAACCACAGGCTCCATTGTCAAAGCCTTTTTTAAATTGTTAATCATTTTTATGTTTGATGTGTATTATGTAGTTGAATAGGGTAATTAGAGTCAAGGGCTACAGGAAGGTGGGTGAGATCACCATTCCCACATTCCCTCCTTTCCTTCAAAAGTCTTCTTGAAACAATTAAACGCAGGGATAGAAGTAGTTTTCCTGGGTCTCTCATAAACGGAAGAATGGATGGTGAAATGTGACAGGCATGTTTAATTTCACATGGAAGAATATTTTTATCCTCATGGACACTATATTAAATGACAAAGAAAGACAAATAGTGTCTGAACAGGCCTAAGACCATAGATTTGTGGCTCAGGCCACTCCAGATTTGGAAGCTGGGTTCCACAAGTCAGCATGGGACTGACCACTCCTTGGGTGACACCCTAAAGGCCACTTTCGTGGTCTACTTCAATGAACACCTGCAGAAAGAGAAGTGGTCTACTCACAAGGAACAGCATATGGATGGGTGGCAAGTACAACTGATACCTGCTTTCCACAGTGAGCATCCATCAAAGGGTTCAAAGAAAGCCAATTTATCTCCAGATAGATCCTGTAATGGCTATAGAAGATCAAAACAATGGACAAGTGGCTGTTACTACGGAAGGTGGCATTTATAGGAGCCATGATATAAAGTAATGCTATGAAAGGCTACTGGGCAACAGGGAATCTGGGGCACAATATAGGTGCTCAAGGCAGGGCACATGCCCAGCAAATATCTGAACTAGAAGAAGAAATTGAGTCAGGAGAAGCAAGAGAAGATGAAAAGTAAAGCCATGGTCTGTTAACCTCAGCAAGGACTTGTGATTCTTGTAGAACTGCCATTGTGGTTTCCACAATTCTGCCTCTGACGACCAGGTCAGTTCGCTCCCATTCTCTAAGGATATTTTAGCTGGGTCAGTCCCAAAGTGTAAGTGAGCTTCCCCTGGCAAGGCAGCATCCTGACACATTTTCTGCCCCATCCTCCCCAGAAATGTGTAAACTGCACAGCATGTGTTATTACATATGTATGATCATCGTAAGATAAATAAAGTGAATCCTGGTATAGGCAGCTTTGACGAAGCATAATAGAGTGCTTGGCACTAGTGTTGGCTTAAAGAAAAGGGCCCTCGTGGAAAATGGGATCTGAAAAAGTTGCCTGATCTCTCTGGATCCAAAGGCAACAAGGATCCAGTTACAACAGATGGAAAATGCTGTTATTCCATGGTAGGCATGGTTGAAACAGTTGTAGGAGTAATCATGGGTATTGTCCACAAAAAAAAAAAAAAGCCATTGGAAGTGAATACTCTGATGGAAGAAGCAGCTGCCATTCAGGACTCTGAGGACACTCCTTTCCTCCCAGCACTGAGAAAGCTAGTGGAAAACCATTTGTGTTTGCTCAAGTGTTCTGAAGCAACCAATTGCTGTAGACCCTAGGTGAGCAATGAGATTCTGCCATTGGCACAGTCACCTTCATTTAATTATACTTGTAGAATCGTGAACTAGAGGGCAAGTGGAAGCATTTGACCTCCATGGTTGAAGTGAGTACTGCTTATGTTCTTGGACATCAAAGTTGGAATAGTACTCATAATGCTTTGACCGATAGCGATCTCTGAAGCGGCTAGATGATCAAAGAACTCCCTGTATCAGGAGGCATCTGAACACTATCTAAGGTTGCATTGCTTCATTTAATAAACAACTACAAATTGTCAATGATATTCATTTATAACAAATACGATGTACAAACATGCAAATAAAGCTGAAATAGTCAGCAAAAAATGTGGCAGTCATTGCAATGACTGGGAAGCAGAATTCTAGGAAGCAGAAACCGAAGTAGAGGCTCTATCAAAATGGTTTACAACCTTGGGTGCAGACAGTATTCACATGAAGAGGTGAAGAAAAATGTGGTTCCCTGGTGCTCTTCAAAGTTCCCTATTTTCCCTGGCTGAGTATGATACGTGCAATTTCTTTTCTAAGTGGCTCTCCTGAGTAATCTTAGTGGAGAGCTACGTAAAAAAATACAAACATTTTACATCCTTTCTAGTTTGCAATTATGATTCTGCAATAAATAATATTTCACTAATGATAAATGCACCACTACAATAAAGAATCTAAAATCTCCCTGTATATGAAATGTGGAAGCATATCTTTGCAGAAGAAGAGGGGAGTGGGAACAGTTTAGAAGCATGGAGCCAGTGCAAGTTGAGTCTGAGAGGAAGCTAGACCTCTGTCCAGGCCTGCACAATGTCTGGACTGGACCTCAGCTTTCATGGGCTCAGGGAAGCTTCAGGAGTGCAACCTTCCCAGTAGCAGACATTTACTACCCAAGACATCATGGACGAGGCTGCACAAAGTGACAAAGGCAGCCATTTTTCCTAAGGAACACTTTACTTACCTGAATATAAAGCTGTTAATTGTCATGTGAATAACAGATAAATGATCTCATCAGTGAAGGAGAGAAAGGGGAAAGGAAGAGAGATGAAGGTTGAAAGGGACAAAAAGGAGGGAGGGAGGAACGGTATTCGGAACATTATTAAAATTATTTCTACAGACCAACTTGAATTCGTAAGAAACTAATACTAACCAAACCCATTAGAAACTAACAAATAAAACAATATTAGGCAAAAAGGACTAAAATTAAACTCAAAAACCACTTTCAGTGTGTAAAATGTGAGATCCCAACTTCAGTTCTGCTACATTGTTGGATGAAACAGCCCAGGACATGCACGTGATTTGTGTGGACTCAAACTTTTGTAATCTGAAAATGTTGTGTGGATTCAGTTCCCATGAGATTTCTGTGAGGAAGGCTACAGAATCCCAGGCAGTGTTCCCAACCCTGAGCCAATGCTGGATGGTACTGGGAATGGGAAAGATTGGTCCCTCTTTCCTAACTCTTTCCATGCTTTCACTACCATACACCCAGCATCATGGCCGTGCTGTAGGCAGAATTCCAGAGTGAACCAGGAAGTACTGGTCACACACTGATGATGTCATAAGGAATCCTCCCTCACTACAGTCTCCAGGAGGCAGGATCAACAAGGCATCCTTGACCCTGAGGGAGCATTAAGGCAGTTTAGAGGAGCAGCACTGGCTGCTTTCTCAGCCTGTTGCTCGCACCCCTGATTCCTGTAGGACCAATGCAGAACAAGGACTGTGCTGAGAAGCGAGAGTCCAGTAAGTCAACGCTCCAGTATGTCTTCTGTTTAAGAAACATCTGTTCCTCTGGTCTCCCTGCTGCTCTGAGTCACTTGTGTGCTGTCCTGATTCATTGTCTTCATTCGGGTTGTAAGGTGGCTGTCAGGGAGCTCACATTTATACTTTTATTCTCAGTGATATTAAATCACATGCCGTGGCAAATAAAATCCGAGTGATGAGAAGTGGGGCATGACATTACAACAAAATACCTGTTTTCCATTCAGACATTCATTATACAAGAGTTGAATATATGTAATGTTGACTCTGGTACTAAAAACATGTCAGAGTGGGCCAAGATATTTGCTCTGGGTATTTCCAGAAAATTATAATTGAGGGCAGTGATGGGAACATTGGGACATTTTTGGTAGGTGCTGCCACAGTGTCACCTGTCCTTAAAGCTTGAATTACCTGTAAAATGGAAGTTTTCATATGATCAATCTGGTGGCTGGTAGGATTTGAGGGTGTGGAGGAGGTTGTCTCCCAGGTATTGGTGCTGTTGCGAAAGAATCTGAGAGAAGAAGGCAAGATTGAAACAGCTTCTTAGTGTGTGAGATTGCCCAGTGAAAACTACAGGTGAACACATTTCTGTTTATTTGAATCTCCCTTTAAAAAATTGGCACAAGTGCTTCTTCATTCAAGATTTCTTTTCCCACGATTCTACTAGTAGGATATCTGGACAGGGATTGGAGTCCTCCTTCTAAGCTTCCTAGGATTGTTTTCATGGGGGCAGGTTATTACATTTCTTGCATTAATATGGCTATAGACCATAAGGTAGTACCTCAGAAACTTGTGTATCTTCAACGTAATATATTTGCTTTGAATTTCAGAATTCTATGATGGTACCACCCACCATGAACGGATGAAGAAAGACTGGGCTTTGTTCCGTCGCCGTTTATGCCAGGAAAACCTTCAGTATGAACATGGTGTGTCTGAGCCTCCACCTTCACACCACCAACAGGCAAATGGAGCCCAGGCAGTGGTAGACACCCAGGAAGAAATAGAGTTAGAGTGGTAAGTGAATTGACTATGGGTTTAAACGAAGCAACCATTGAAGCATGGGACTCTTCCATTTCTGGGTCTTCTTTTCTCTCTCTGTGTGTGTAATGGGAAAACTAAAGCATGCTAGAAATGGTGGGTGGCTGGGAATTTCTACCTCCAGTCATCAGAAAAAGGAGCTGGGTTGGGAAGGTTGTCCTACCATTTACAGAAACCTGCTCTTACTTCTTTCCAAGCACTTCTTATACTACACAGTACAAGAAGAGGATGGTAAAAGCTTCACATCATGGCCAAATCCACATATCTTTGTGCCGATATAGAAAACATCCAAGAAAAGACATGAGGGGAAAAACACAGGATGGAACTGCATCATGCTGGTTTAAGGTCACAGTGAGTGTCTTGCTAAGATCTGCGTGAGATAGAATACTCTGAAATCTCATAGAAGTAAGGCTGCGTGAGCCCAGGTGATTCCGGGGGGAGCGAAAAATAGAGAAAACAGGGCTCTGAAAACTCAAATATTGAGCACAGAAGAAATTCTGTGAGCACTCTTTCTTCAGGAAACACCAATTCCAGTTGGAAAGTCTGAGGGGGAGCACTGAGTTTGTCACTCTGAATTCTGTATTACTGATCATATCATTGAGTTTTCCTCTTTACACTTAGATTCCACATGCACGAAAGTATAACAAGACAAAACTGATGAAATCAATTCAAAGTTACTGCGCGCTTCCTTTCATTGCTGTGGACGTAAGACAGGATGGTGAAGGCAGAGGGGTGGGAGAGGGGAGAGAGGAGCCTGGCTCAGCAGGGACAGATAAGCTGTCAGACTGTTGCTGTTGCTTCCCCATAGTTCCATTACATCAGGAACCAGGCCTGTTTCTTTATTCAAGATGAGATTGCAGCATCCGCCCTGAGGGATGTGAGTGGAAAGATTCGGGATGATGACAACCGAAAGGTGTGCGCAGAAGACACTGCAAAACCGATTCCCAGGGCCAGGGGCTGGTGGTGTTCCTGCTTGGGAGCAGAGATCCTGGTGCTCAGGCTGCCCCTTCTTTCACAGATAGCTGTGTTCGTCCATCGCTCTGCTGCACCCTACTCTGTGCAGAACCAACTGAAACCAGAAGAAATGCAACTGCTGAAGGTAATGAGGTTAAAGAATGTTGTGCAGTGCACACTCCACACACCTGCCTCTTCTCCCCGCACTCCTACATGTCCCTGTCACCAGCCCCTCTGGCTGAGCCTCAGAGCCCTGCTCTCCATATGTGTCTTTACAGCGCACTTTGTACAAACGGTATGATGCCAACACAAAGCGCCTTGACCTACAAAGTCTACGCCTTGACCCAGGTATAGCTGTGAGCTGCAGTTGCATGGAGAGAGAAGGCAGGGTGTAGGGGGTGAGAATAACCTGGAAGTACACAAAGTGATGACCACTTGGAAGGTGTTGGTGTTGGCTCTTGTCAACCCTTCTCCTTCTGCTTCCCTTCTCCTGGTTTCCTCTAGACTTGATGCACCATCATATTGACATGATACTGAATCAAAGACAGTGCATGGCTGCAACCCTACAGATCATTGGAACAGAATTCCCTGAGGTATGGTCCTAGGACTGGGACTCCCATATGGGACAGAGTGTCACAGGGTGGACTGGAGAGCAAGCATATCTCCCAAGCCACAGATATGAACTATCACTCCAACCCCTCCTTCCCCAAAGCTCTCGGCTCTGAATTTGTGCAACAACAAACTGTACCATCTGGATGGCCTGTCTGACATTTTAGACAAGGCCCCCAAAGTCAGGACCTTGAACCTGTGTGATAACGAGGTGAGAAGGGGGAGCCACAAGTTAAGTGGGGTTGAGGATGAGTGGGTGGGTGCATATCAGGTGACAACATGCAGATGATATACCTGTGGGTAAGGGTCAGGACTGTGGGTGCAGGGCCATGGTCATGTCTCCTTGTACGTCATATTGCTCTTGTCCTGTTGTTTGTCTCAGCTCCAGACAGTGCAAGAACTGGAGAAGGTAAAAGAGCTGAAGCTGGAAGAGCTGTGGCTGAAAGGGAACCCACTGTGCAGGATCTTCCCTGACCACGCAGCCTATGTAAGGTCAGTGGTAGTGCCTGTGATCTGTCTGTGGACATTCATCTGCCAGGGGCTCAAGTTGGCCCTGAGTGGCACCTGTAGGAGGATGTAACCCTGGTCCTCTAGGAACACCTGGACCCTGCCTCTCCACTTTGTCCTTCAGCTGTTCTTTGCGGTCTCCTTTCCTCCTTCTGACATCATCTCCTTTCCAAATGATTAGAGTGTTATCCCTCCTCACTGTGTTGGACTCCCACGTGACCTCCCATTAGGTTTGCTCCAAGAAGCAAGGTTCCGTGTCTTCACAAGGGACAGCAATGTTTAGCCCCAAGCCAGATGGTGTTGCCCTCAACTTAGACAGCTCTTGCATCCCACCTTCTCAGGCTGACTCAATGCTGAGAGGAGCTCTTCCTCTGCTCCAAACTGCTCCCAGAACCTGCCTGAGGTTTAAATGTTCTTTTCCTGCCCCATTTTGTAGAGCTGGTAGCTGCATGCCTGCCAACATGACATCAAACCCTTTGTTTCATTTCCGGGAGCTGGGACTTACCTGAGGAGAAACCCATGTTCCCTGATTCATGTGGCTAACTGCTGGCAACTGTCAGAAAGAGGGATTCTTGAGCCAAGACTGGAAGGTCAAGGGTAGAGGAGATGGGCGAGATACAAGGGCATGCCTCTCATGGGCACCACTTCTCCATTCATCCTCAACTACATCCTCCAGAGGAGACCCAAAGGCCCTTGATGCATCTGATTCCTTGCTTAACGCTCTGACAACTAGGCACTGCTGCCTGTGGATCTGGAGAAGAGAACACAGTGATGATAGCAGGGGCCAGAATCCTTGATCCATTGCTCCTTCAGGGAAACTGCTCCCATCTCTGGGGCTGCTCAGTGCCCAACCTCACTCAACCAACATCACACAGGTGACAAAGGCTCAACCTGCCTCCCGTTGCCTCTCACAAGTCCAGCCTCTTCTCACACTGCCCTGGGTCCATCTGGTCCGGCCAATGGCCCCTGATGAGAAGGGTTGCAGCAGAATACCCACTTCCTGCCCCCTTCCTTCTTGATCTCAACACAGTGGTTGAGTCTCTTCCCCTTCCTTTTGTTTCCTATTCCTTCTTTGTGCTCTCTTTTTTCTCCCTCAGCTCTCTGTAGCCTACCACCAGTTGCCTTCTCTCATCATGCCATACTGACTTTACCCTGTGTCTGGATTCACATATCACTCTCCTGTTTGTCCCGTTTCCACCCTGGCCGTTGCTAAGGGGTTGAGTTGGTCTTTCCCAGCTGGTGCCTGCAGAGTGATTCATAGTCTGAGAAGCAGCACAGGCTTGGTCTCCAACCCCATCCCAGTAGCATGTGGAGATTCCCAACATCACACCACAAAAACTGAGGGTGATTGGGAGCTGGCTGAGGTCTGGGATGCCATTGGGGCTTTTGCTGGTCCTGGAGTAGTTAGCGAGGACAGAACATGTGATGCAGAAGAAACAGGAAAGGAGTTTAGAGGAAGAACAAATGCAAAAGAGAAAAAATGGTGTGCAATCCCAAATGTCAACCACTACTATCTATCACTCACTCTCTCTCTTTTTAATCCAACAGAGGGATTTTGGATTGCTTCCCCAATTTGTCACGCCTGGTGAGTACCTGTACTCATCACTCTCTCTTCTTTGGACGTACACCATCTCAATAACTGCTCACAGCATTTGGGTGGATTTGGGTAACAAGTTGGCATCGCAAAATCTTTCACTAGAGAGATGACTTCTAATGAAGGCCATGCATATTCCCAGTGCAAAACATATCCTTAAGTACACACACAGACATGTGGTTGTACACGACCTTGCACAAACCACGTGTTCATTGTGCTGCTCTCTTCCCAAGGATGGCAAAGACTTATCCCCACCAGTTGCTGAAATGCATGGACAGAAGACAACAAAACCAAGTGAGGTGAGGAGGAACTAAGGAGAATTTAGGATGGTGTAGCAGCTTGGGGTGGGGACAGGGGCTACATCATTTACATCTAAAATGGTTCTCTTTTCATTCCAGAAAAGGTCTCAAGAAATCGAAATGATAAAAAATTTGATCCTCAATTTCCTTCACCAGTAAGTATGCCAGGGACTATGAGGAAGGCAAATGTGCATAGGCCTGCTCACAGGAGTTTTCAAGTGTCAGTTGTGTCTGGGCACAGACATAGCCCATCTTCATCGCTTCCCCACAGCTATTACTTCATCTATGACTATGGAGATCGCCATACTCTTATTAATGTTTACCACGAGAAGGCTTATTTCTCTCTGAGCACTGTCTTCAACTCCACAGACCCGGTCCCGTAAGTACTGTATTCACATCTCATCTGGGGCCAGGTAGTTCCCAGGCAGACACAGGTCAGCTCCTGCAATCAGCTCTTCTGCCTGGAACACTGCTTACTGTTCTTTGTTGTCCCCTAGGACCGAATTGTATGAATACGCCAAGATCAGCAGGAATATCAAGAACATCACAGAAGCAAGTAAGCATTTGATGGGGCAGTCCGGGTGAGGTTGAAGAAAAGAGACAGTTTAAGATCCAAGGGATGGGTGTGGCAGCACAGGTCTCTTCCTCTCTCACATAGACCTGAGGAGGCAACTGCTGAAGCACACAAACCATGCCATCGTGGACACCCTCAACACGTTGCCTAAAACTCGACATTACTTCAGCTCCTTCTCAATAGACACCTGCTTCTACACAGTGAGCACCTGCTTCCTCCCTCTGGCAGGCTTGAAGTAATTAGAGCTAGACCAGAGGTGCAGGGGCATCCTGAGAACCCAAGTTCTTCTTCCCTTTCAGGAGAAGTCCTTCACTGCCACTGTCAAGGGGATTTTCAAGGGAGGTGAGTGCTCTCCATAGTCACCCCCTCAGAGCCCCCACCACACCCTTCTTCTCCCTGGCATATCCCTCAGAACTCTCCCAGCTTTTCCCAAATCTGTTTCCTTCCTTCTGCTTATTCCTCTGGTGTTCTTGTCCTTGTCTGTCCAAACTGTTTCTTCATCCCTATTGGCCCATGCCTGTCTACTGCATATATTTCAGCACCTGGGACACAGGCTGTGCAGTTGGCTTGCAGCCCACATATATGCTTTCTTGTGATGTAGGCCCATCTTTTCACTCCTCACCTCTGACCAGTGCAATGTACAGCACCAGCATCCTTGTCTTGGCCCCTAAGAATTAAAATTAGGAGGTGATTTGTCACATTGGAGTCCTCTTGCCAATAGTGGATTGTTCCTATTGTTATCATCCTCATTGGCACCAGGCTGTCCTGAACCCAAGTGGACAATTTGACCAGTCTGATCCTCTCCACTATTAGACCCGGACTGAGAAAGCAGTGTGAGTGGGTAAAGAATGTGTAAGTCCAAGTGGTACTGTGTTTTGTCCTTGAAACAGAGAGTACATCTGAAAATTCGTTGCTTGGTTTTATCCGGACATTCGTTGGGTTCCTGACTGACACTTCAGAGTAAGTGCTGTGCTGTTGGTGTAACACCCATTGCTGCCCAGGACCACTGGTAAGGGAATGTGGTGAGGTACTCAGGACATGCTCTGTTACTGGGACTAGCCGTAGGTAGAGCTGAGGGACAATGTGTCCTGGAGATTAAAAGAGATGTTTCTGGAGCCAGTTCGTGGTTCCTCCTGCTGATCCCACCACTTTGTACGTATGGGAAGTTGGTCACATTACTTTATGACACCATGATTCACTGCCCTCACTGAAGGTGGGGATAACTGTGTCCACTCCTTTGCACTGTCACACAGGAAAAGTGCAGAAGGTGAAGTGCACAGACTGACTTAAAATATGAGACAGTCTTCTCCAGCATGAGCTCAAGGTAGGGTTAGAGGACACAGTTATGAACCTTGGGAGGCAAGAGAAGGGGGAACATGTGAGAATCTGGTAGGTGTGTGGTAGTGGTTATGGAAGAGCCTGTTGGGAGCTGGGACTGTTCTCTGTGCAGCTGGCTGAGGACCCATTTCCCCGACAGTGTGTGCATCCTGAATGACCATCTCTTTGTGAGCAACACCAACCCTGTAAAGGTCCGGAACAGCTTTTCGATTGTGGGGGCCATACCGTGCTCCCACTGTCCACCCACCCTCTCCCTGCTGCAGGAAGAAATGGTGCATGCATTCTCTCTGCAGTCTGGGATGAAACTTTCATGGAGCCAAAAGTGAGTGCTGGTTGACCATGGGAATGGGGGCAGTAGGACAACAAGAGTGTGGCACATGAAAATGCATGTGATGTGGAGAAGGGTCTCTGAGTACTTTGCTTCTGTATGAAAATATTGTGCATATGAAAGAGAGAAGCTTTAATAGGGATGCATATAGAGATTTTTTTCAACTTGTTTTTCAGGTGGTATTTGATGCACATTTATTTTACTGCCTGCAATACACACAGTGCACATACAAGTGCTGGTTCAAGTCCCAGCTGTTTCCTAGGTGACCATCTAGAGAAGCGAAAATGTGTGCTCTTTGAAAGACTAGCACAGGAGTATTCGTAGCAGCATTTTCCATACTAGCCTCAAGTGGAAGCAACTCCATTTCCCCTTAGCTGAAAAGTAGATCACTAAGTATGGCTACCCACATCCTGCTCTCCTAAGCATCATAATTCTGACATAGGCTGTCACAAAGCGTCACATGCCATGTGATTCTGCTTGTAACAGACACCTAGGACTGGGAAATCCATGGAGACTGTGAGCAGAGACATGCTTGCCTGGGACTGGGAGAAAGAGCTAGAGTGAAAAATCATCACTAACCGTTATGGAGTTTCTTTTCTAAACAAGAATATGACCTTAGCCTTAGTTGGGATAGTTGCATAGCCTTGTGAGAACACTAGCAAATCATGAATTATACACTTGCGAGGGTATTTTCTGCATTACTTGGCTGATACCCCAATTTTACAATGCTTGGAAGTCATTTGAATTTATATGTAAAATTTCTCAATGTTCTATTGATTTAACATAATGAAGTCCTTTTTTTTAAATTTCAAAGTAAAAGTTCCAGAGAGGACACACACACACACACACACACACACACAGAAAGAAGAGAGTTCATCACATGATGGAACACTGCCAGGATGTCCACAATGATCTGCTCTGGGTCATGTTGTAGACAGGATCTTGAACTTCTCTCAGGTCTCCCACATGAACAGCAGGGCCTCAAGCACTGGGTATCTCCTGCTGCTTTCCCCAGCCCCTCAGCAGGGATGTGGTCACATGTGTAGAAGCCCGGTATGGAACTGGTGCCCATATGAGACGCCAGCAGCAAAATCGCTGGTATTATCCACTGCTTTTGTCAGGCTCCAACATACCCTTGTAAAGCAGTATTATGTACAAGATCCCCCTGCTCTTTTTTTGAGCATCACTGTTTCTCTGCTGTGGCATCCAGGGTGTGAATGTTAGGGAAAGACATTGTGGCTGTTGAAAAGCTTTCATTCATGGTCAGAGCAATAATCATTTTGGCATACGTGTACCAGAGGATGAGTGGCACCAGTGATGGGGTGGCCTGAAGCCTGAAGCGATTGGTGTGTGTGTGCTCTGTGGAGGTCACGTGTTCTTCTCCCAACGCAGATGCCTTGAGGACAATGAGTGGAACTTTACCAGTGCGGTGCAGGCCTTCTACACGCTCCAGGTGAGGCCTGGGAAGCAAGTGGGTAAAGACGGGTGTGTCTGGGCCTTCAGCATTATGGAAGGGGTTAGCTTGGGGGTTGAACTCAGGACCCCTGGCTCTTCTGATGTCCTGATTCCTTCCCTCCAGGACCAGGGTGTCATTCCAAAGGAGGCGTTCAAGAAAAGCACCTGAAAGAATCTCAAGCTCTGCTCGGCATGTTAGCCATGTCTTTCTCTTTTGCCGAATATCAGGTGTTGTTCATTATTGGGTTTGTAGACCTGGGCTTCTGAAACATCATTTCTTGTAGATGCGGTAATTACCACACTATAATAGGTTGAATAGTCTTTCTTATCCCTCCCTAAACATTGCTGTTTCAATTAATATAAAAGCATGGTGTGGGATGGCATGACATGGCATGTGCATGTTGTGTGTTCTCTATACTTCTTCTTCAGTCCAAGCTATGTGTAAGCAGGACCAGGATGAGATGTGTAGGCCAGTAAGTGTTGTAGCCCAATTAGAGATGGCCTGCACCATGTTGTAGGATTCAGCTGCAGTTGTTGCAGCCTGGCTCAGCCTGACCTGCCCCTTCCCAGCATTGTCCAGTGGATTCAATAACGTAGCCCAGCCTGCTCACTCACAACCCAGGCCTCAAGTGAACTGGCAGGTCTTGCAATCCAATGTGGTCTGGCCTAAACTGATCCTTACCCATGCTCCTGCAATTGGATGTTGGTATACTGGCCCATTCTTGCTCCCTCCCTCAACCCTGAACCCGAATGGCAAACATGTGTCTCATGAGTGTTGTGGCCCTCTCAAGACCATGCCTGGCCTATACCCAGCTCCTACTCTCCCACTCACAAGTGGAACCTGAAACTTAGCAGGAGAGTTCTCCAAGTTCTGCCATAAGGCCCACACCCAGGCCCAGATCTCATAAGTGCCTCCCAAATGTTGCACACCAGCCTCATATGTCAAGTCCCCAGTTCTAGCACTTAGCAATGGGTACTGCAGTCTAGCCTGATTTGGCCTGCTTGCATCCCGGATAACATTGGTGGGTGCTTTGGCCCAGCCCAACTGGCACAACTCCATCCTCGGTCTCAACTGACCAGCATAATGCCATGGCCTATCACAGCCTTTCCCATACTCATTTGGGCTCTCGGTAGTGTCAACAGGCAGAGAAGCCTTGGTCAGTCAGTCCTGCCCTCTGTCCAAGACCTCAGGTATCCTGAAGGATGCTTTAGAAATTACTGGTGTGGTCTGACCACAGCCCAGCCTCTCACACTCACCAGCAGGACCTGCTGCTTAGTAGGGCAGTCCAAACACTTCTCCTACTAGGCCTTTGCCCATCCCTGGATCTGCCATGTGCTGATGGGGGCTATGACTCTGCCTGGCATGGCCTGCCTGCAGTCTCAGCTCTTGCTGGTCAGTGTTGCAGTTTACCCCAGTTAAGTGTGGTCCAAACCCTGTTCTGGCTCTTGTGCATGCCAGCAGGTGCTGCAGACTGGCTCAGCCCTGCCTTCTCTCAGACCTGGAACACACAAACCTGACAGTTAGCCTCTCCTGCCCTCACAGCTCGCTCCTGTATTCCTCAGCAGGATCTATAGCCTAGTAGGAGAATTCTCCAAGTTCTCCTCCCAAGGCTACTCCAAGCCTTGGCTCTCATGCCTGTTGGAGAGTGCCACAGTCTTGCTTGGCATAATCTGCCCTCAGTCCCGGCCTTTGCATATACTGTGAGTGTTGCATCCTGGCAAACCTGGACCTCCTCCCAGACCTGGTACCTGAAAGTTTCAGGTGAGTTCCTGTCAGGGAGTTCCTCAGTGCAGCCTGACTCAACCTATCACCAAACCTGCTCTAGTGCAAACCAGCATTTCTGAAGTCCCTCAAAGGTGAGCAATCAACTCTCTGCCCTCAGAACTGATTCTTCTGAGAACCACTGGGTGCTGCAATCCAGCCTATGTTCATTACTGGCTACTCCAAAGCGCACAGGTTGGGTACTGTGGTCTAGCCCAGCCAGACATGCCAACCAGCCCCTAGCTTCTGAAGATGCTGGTGGGTGGTGGGTCATGTTACTAAATCCATCACAGATCTCACACTTAGGAAGTTGCCTTCCTCTGACCTACACATGACCTTCAATTTCTCCCTCTAAGCTACCCCATCTCAGCTCCCTCATCGACCTTTGAGTGAAGTATCCTAGTCTGTGGAAGCACTCAGAAATCATTTGGCCCATGTCAGGCATACTCTTGGCCACTC